CCCCCCCCCCTTTCCTGTTCTATTTCAAACTGTATTTGACTTGATGCACACATAAAACACAATGAATGTAAATGATAAAAAATATATGAGATATGTATCTCTTCTTTATTTCAGTTACAATGTTTGTTGGGGAAACTAATTATTATGCAAACAAAATTATGCAAATAAGATGTATTGTTATGTAAATTAGCCGCGATGCTTGGCTTAGAGTCTGGGGAGAACACTGGTAGATAATCTCTTATTCAATGATGCAATTACAATTTTGTTCTCACTTGTTTTTGTTTACAGTTGTCAATAATAAATAGTGCAGGCCACTCGCAATGCAATCTCTGTAGATAATAACATGTGTATACATCTACATTGTATCTATGGGTGAATATGGAAGAAATCTTAATATCCTACTGTAAAATACTGTAATTTAACTAGAATTAATTTTCGCTGGAAAGACATTTGGGTATTTTGTATTGAGTTTATTTTCACTGATTGAAATGTAAAATATAGAAGAAAGAGTATATTTTATTTTCACTGAATCATCCTTCCAGTGAAAATAAAATATTTTACAGTATTTAAGGGTTTGAAAATTCAAGAACTTCCGGCTGATTACAGGCGCTTTCACTTTGACTGTTGTTTCCACAGATTATGCAAAACATCTTGTAATGTACATCAATAGCAAGGCTTTTCATTTTCTGAATTTGTGTGTTTGTCAGATTGCAAAATTTGCATTGCTGCAGTGCTAGTGCATTTGTTTATATGAATTTGAACATATGGGCGTTTCAAATTACTAAAAACAACAAATTATAATTATTATTACTCTCTGGCTGTGATACTAACGTTTACTGTCAAGTTGTCAACAAATCTGACGAGGCACTGATGGTTTGATGGGTTTTGGTAAGAAAAATATTAAATTGCATCCCTGGTTATTTCAGAGCGCTAACTGTATGGTGGCCATTTTGAGTCTCTTGCTTCCTTACTACTACACACGTGGGATCGGTTGAAAACGAAAATCAACATTACGTTTAGTGTGAATCAGTCGATATTCACGTGAGTAAGAGGATTAAATCGCATGATGATCGAAAAAGCACACTCACCTAACTGTGTGTTTTCCGTTCACGAAATACCTTCTCCAGTTCTCAAAACCCTAAGCGGCAAATTTCGCAACTTGAGCTCTACGTCACGAACACTGACACACTAAAAAAAATATACAAAAACAAAATAATTAAAAGTGTTTACAACAATGTATCCAAAAATAAAATTTATCAATAAATATAAATATAATTGGTAAATAAGTTATTCAAACATAAAATCCTGTGAGATTGCGAAAATATTGCTAGTGTTTCAATAACAAATTAAAATTTATCTTGCACGAGGATGGATGCTACACACATTATCATGACGTTTTTCTTGATCAGTGATTTCCTCAAACAAACATTGATGACGTTGAATCAATGTGCACATGTGCGTGCCAAGTTGTGCTTTCAGCGTTTCCGCAGCCTGTAGAGAACGTGAAATTTTACAAATATGGGCAAGAAAGCTAAAACCGGAAAGGGGAGGAAGGACAAGTTTTACAAATTAGCCAAAGAAACCGGTAAGTTAAACAGTTCTACTGTAATATTCTTACGATGACCGATCAATTTATGTTACTATTAGTGCTATGAACCATGTGGCCATGGTTGTGCAATGCGGCAATGGATTACAAGTTAAGATCAAAATACATAGTACATAATATAAATAAAGTTCGTCGACGATATCATATTTATATTAATGGGGGTTCCAAACGTCGAGGGGTCCTAACTGCAAGGGCCTTATCTCCGTGTCTCTAAGGGTTAGCCTATTTAAAAAATGGGAGTGGAGATTTAGAGGATTTTGTGAAAAATAGCCTTGATGCTTACACGGGGGAACAAATATGAACAACTTTGAAATGAAAAAAAGTGTGCAATGTCTATTTAAAGAGCTAGACAAGTGACACAAAAATGTAGGTACAGCAAAATAATTTTATTTTGACAAGAACAACCGAAAAAAAGAATACCCAAACGTTTTTTAACTGTATGAGTATTTAGTGTGTCGACCTGGTGTTTTGAAAAAAATAAATCACATATTGATATGTTATGCGTAAACATTTCCAGCAAACTACAATCTTTGTGTTCAATGATGAAAATACCCCAATTCTTTACCTAGTGCATTCGCTAGCATCCTGAAATGAGGGTATACCCGTCAACTTAAAGTCACCTGTATTTGAACAGATTTTGGCATCAGTTCCATTTTATTTCTGTATTAAAACGTGTGAACCTAAGTTTGGAAACTTCCATGAATTGCATCACCACCAATAATCACTGGATAAAAAGAGAATGTGATCACATACATGTATGTATGTACATTATTTCCTTACGTTTTTTGCCCTAGTGTTTTCATCAAATATATAAATGATTGGTGATATTTTCATTTGTGTGATACAAAAAAAAGTCTTCTTTTATTGACTTATATTTGCAGTGCACTTTTTCGTCGCTCGTTTTGGACGCAAATCTGTTAGAGGAATCATAGCTTTTCTAAGTGAAATAAAATCCCAATATCCAAAAACGACAAATTTAAGAACACCAAAATTATCAGAAATGACAAAAATCCCATCACAAAAACTGAATACCAGAACAAGAAGAGTTTTGTTCCCAAAGCTACAAATATGTATGAATATAATTTTATTAGGGATAGGCCATTTGACCTGGGGGGGGGGGGTTAAATGACCAATATAAATTTGCATACTGGGTGGTTTATTAATTATCATACATGTATCAGTCAATGCTACAATGTATCTGTCATTGACATTGGATTTGACTTAACGTTGATTCATACTTTTTTGTAACGATGTTTTCTTTCTCAGGCTATAGAGCACGTTCTGCTTTCAAACTCCTCCAGTTGAATCGAAAATTCCAATTTCTACAGAAATCCAGAGTTCTTATTGATTTGTGCGCTGCACCAGGAGGATGGTAAGACCTGTTATAATGAAAATACAATTAAATAAAAGGCTCACAGGGTTCACAACCTTGTGCAGTCAAATGAGTTCAGATTTGGTATGAGCAAACAATCCGCTTCAATTACTGAATTATAACAGCAGGAAATAAATGTATTAGTAAGTATGAAACAATTACTGTAAAAGGATTAATTATTCACTGGGTTTTAATTTTGCTTATTTCGCTGACTGGAAAATTCGCGAAATTAAAACCCAGTGAATATGGAAAATTTAGCATAGAATACATTATCTAAATGATAAAACCGTGAATTTAAAACCCACTGAATATGCCCGAAATCCTAAATCAGGGAAATTTAAACCCAGTGAAAATTAGTCATTTTACAGTATCCATTCATCAATACACAATCATTTGCGATACACGTGGGCCAACAAAATTATGAATACGAGTTAGCGCCGCGGAAAAGACTGTGCTAATAGGTAAAATAAATTTCATTTGTTATCGTGAAAGCTGTTATGACTCTTCCAGTACTCAATTTATCTTTTAAAAAGTGCTAATCACCTCTTTGAAAAAACACCAGGCAGCGATATCAACATCGATAGGATGTACTTCAACATCAATAATAACGAAATTTATTTCCGGGATGCATTCTTTGTGATTCTCAATACGTGGAATATGTCGGTAGTACCATGCGGTATTCTAATTGGTTAATAGCATTCTTGCCCTATCAGGTCAAAGGGCACCATGGAAGGTCTGGTCAACTCGTGTTCTGGAAACCATTCATAGCAAACCAAAGAAATATTGTTTTTTGTGTTGAACCGTGATTGAATAATGGTGCAATGGTGTAAGGACCTCTGAAAATAAGTTATATTTGTGTGTATGTTTACGGTAGTAGATGTTCGTTTACGTAATGTTTTATACATTCTTCTTGTGTCCCTATCACCATGTACAGTTAGCACAAAATAGTTAGTTAAAAACAGCACAATTCAGTGATCTGTCAAAATTTTAGAAGCCAATAAATTAAGAATATCTGCAAAATACTTGTATTGCTATGAAAATGTCTGTGTTATTCAGGCTGCAGGTTGCATCGAATCACATGCCTGTGTCCAGTCTTATTGTTGGAGTGGATTTAGTACCGATAAGACCAATACCAAATACCATTACTGTACAAGCTGATATCACAACAGAAAAATGTAGATCGGTAAGTATGGAGTAGAATGTTGAGTAATGCTTGGAGCCAGTACAAGGTTTTATGCAGAGATAAGTATGATACTGGAATTAATGTTAATCCATATACATCTGTCATCGTAACGCCATAAGTTACAGCGTGCCGTAAATTTACGGGGTATTTTCATCCTACAATACAAGGAAATGCGAATTCCAAATATGGAATAATTATGCGCATAAGTGTTCTGTAATAATAAAAACAAACATGGCTGCCATCAGGGTTTGACCGGTTTCCACACAAAGAAGTTCGCTGATTATGTTCTAGACTTTTTGGATTTCGTCATTCCCATGATGTATCCTTGGAAGGAAAAGATGTATAATAATAAGTTTATTATCAGGATACCTCAAAGTATGCACTTGGTCAGTATGCCGTCGCATCAATCTCTGCTGCACGTCGGTCGATACTCCTGCTGTACTGTCTTCGTGCATACTTTGAGGTATCTTCGTAATAACCTTGTATTATTATACATCTGTCACCGTAACGCCATAAGTTACAGCGTGCCGTAATTTTGCGGTATTTTACGGGGTATTTTCATCTTACAATACAAGGAAATACGAATTCCAAATATGGAATGATTACGTGCATAAGCGTCCTGTAATAATAAAAACAAACATGGCTGCCATCGGGGTTTGACCGGTCTCCACACAAAGAAGTTCGTTGATTCTGTTCTAGACTTTTTGGATTTCGTCATTCCCATGATGTATCCTTGGAAGGAAAAGATGTATAATAACAAGGTTATTTACGAGGATGCCTCAACGTATGCACTCAGACAGTACGCCTTCGCATCGAACTCCACTGCGCGTTGGTCGATACTGTTTTCGTGCATACTTTGAGGTAACCTGGTAATAACCTTATATTAATTTTACTCGCATCAAAATCTTATATTACATTGTCATTGCCAAATCAGTCATTTTATTGTTTATCTTTTTTTTTTTAATCATACATCATTATGAATAATTAATAATGCTCATCTATAAAAACACATTGAATACATAATTTTGATCTTCTACAATATACATTGTCATCATACTTACTGTGATATTTTCTATGGTCAAAATAAGTAAAGTGATTTTTAGTTTATTTATGCTTGATCAGAGCATGGAAGGTACTAATGGAAGAAGCCACGACGACTCTCAAGTGGCCACTTAAGCTTCTTAACAGGCTTATTTTCTTTTGTTT